TACTTAAAAAAGACTTATTCAGGTTGGTAATAACCTGTTAGAAATTCATCAATATCATCATCATCAAACATCATCATCATAGCTTTAAGTGTCTTTCTGTTGTTCCTGGAGAATATAAGCCAAATAGTTTATTATTGAATTTTGTGCAAAGCATAATAAACCAGAACAGATAATCCAAATTACTGCAGAAATCAAACAGAAACACAGCATCGGCTTAAGTAACAAAATATTCCTCCACCAAGTGGTTCAAACATCATCAAAATCCATTGACATCTTAGGGGCTTGTTTCTTCTTGCCCAGGAGACCCCGAATTATGGCATACAAGCATGAAGTGAAACATCACTAAAGTTTGGAGATTCTAAACTGGAGAAGAGAATGGGGGGGGGGGGGGGACAAAATCCACGGAATAAGTAATGTGTGCACAGTATTTGTCATTGGTGAGCAGATGGAATCTGCATTCTCACGCCAAAAAAAAAGGAATTCCACTACAATGTGACCACACAGTCTGTCTTCTCCCAGTACTTTTACTCAACCAGAGAGACACAAGAAGGACCATTCCACTTGGGAGGATTTTGGGAGCCATGGTCTCACTCTAAATGTTACTTTTCGGAGGCAGAGCTCCAAAACCTCAGTGTTAGTATAGACTGCTAATTTTACCGACAGCTCAAGCCAAGCTGGAGGAAAGGAAGTGCCTGCACATCTGCTCCGACTACAATGCCAGCTTTCCTTCCTGAAGCCGAGTTGTCAGAGCACAGAGAGTGGGAGCACTTAAATAGGATACATGCAGAGGGATCAAAGAGAGCTGCTCACAAATCAATGCCCTCCTCCTAGAGCCTCCCTTGGTTAGAAAATACAGTGAATTACCTATTGATTTCTAAAAAAATCAATAAAATTGTCTTCGGTTTTAGGATCCCCTTTATATATTTACTTTTTGGTTTCACTTGACACAAAATATCCTACATATTTATGAGGCAGAGAATCACTTGCTATATACATAATGATTAATGTGGTTGAATTAGTGCAATTAGTATTTCCATCTCTTTCAAATGTTTACAGTTTCTGTACATTGGGAATCAATGACTAATACTTGTTATTCTGTACTCTACATTCAATTGCTTTAGACTATGGTTACCTTGCTGTGCAACGGAACTAGTTCTCTCTTCTCGAAATAGACGAGCACCTCTACTGGTACCTACTTATTTTTAGTTCGCACTAATTTCAGGGAAGTTCATCTGTAATTGATTATCTCCTATTTTTATTTGCTAACAACTGTTAGCAGGAGCTGATTATAAAAGACCAAACAGCACCATTATGATGATTGTGATTGTTAACTTGATAGCTCTAGAATTACCTAGGAGCCAAACCTATGTAAGAATTTCTGAAGGAGTTTCTAGATTGATTTAAATGAGAAGGGAAGAGCTACCCTAAATGTGGGCAGTACTATTTCATGGGCTATGATCCCTGGCTGAATAAAAAGAAGAAACTGGGCAAAGTACCATTCACTTAACTCTACTTCTGGAGTATAGACACCATGCAACCTAGGGTCCTGCCCCCACCTCTACCTTGACGGGTAAGGCCTTCAAACTGGGTCCGGAATAAGACATTTTGCTCTTAAAACACATGTGCTAGGTATTTTGTCATAGCAGCAGAAAAGTAAATAGAGTAAATGGAGCACATGTCCTCACCTGGGACACTTGAGGTAAGGACTCAGAATTTCTAAAATTCTAATAGGATTGATTCATTTTTTTATGGATATAACTTAATTTGACAATCATCGGTTTTATTACTTTCCTTTAAAGTTGTAGTGGGTTGACATTAATATTGTCCTTAGTGAAAACATTTCAAAATGGCATAGCTCTAATTTGTCATGTAATGTTTCCTATTACATCTAACCAATAAACCACATGCATTATATTTATTATATATGGACATATATATGGGCACTTCTCTGTAAATGACCATGTGGTTCCCAGTGTAGATTATCCAATGCAACAGCATTTATCTATAAACTATTTATGACTATCATATCTTCTTTTTGGATATCTTATATATCAACATACAACATAATTAAATAATGTAACGAACTTATTTCATATGACTTTAAAACATAAAACTCGGTGATGTTAATGGACAAAACAATTCCTACTGTTATTTAAACCTTAATCACTGACACACATCAATACAAACATAATAAATGACTGTGTAATAAAATATCTAATAGAAAGTTGTCATATTTTATATATATTTGCCTTAATTTAAGAAATTAAACAGAAAGGGATATATATTTTTCCTTAGTCTCATAGCAAAGCAGAGTTTCTTCTTTTATTCAAAGACTAAGATAAAAAGAATAAAAATCAACAAAATGATATAAATATGATTTTATAAGAGAATGAGTCATCTTCCATGGACAAAGGGTCCATAAGGCACACATGTAGGAAGCAGTTTCAAAAATAACAGTGATATTTTCATTTCATTATAAAGCTCCCACATTATTCTATTTGACTGTCCTGATACTTTGGAATAGATTGTATCTGAAGAAATCAAATTCAAAAAAATGAACCAAGTTAATCATGATTCCTTAGAAAGAGGCTTCTGAGATGGCTCAGTGTTAAGAGCACTTATGATTCTTTCAGAAAACTCAGGTTCTGTTCCCAAAACCTAAAATAGCAGCTCACAACCATCAAGCTCCTGGGAAGCCAACATTCACTGCAAATGCTTGAATATGAAAAGAAATGTATATAAGAGTATATGGAGCTGTCTGGAATGGCTAGAAAAATAAGTGTATATTATAAGAAACAGAAATGATGGCCAGACCTAGAAAAATTCACTACAGCTAATCAGCCCTGTGTGTGCACTGAGTTCTTATTACACTTTAACTGAGAGGTGCAAGATTGTAGATGAAGTTTCTGCCCTGTCTGATCCTTCATTTGTTCAGTCCCAAAGAAACACACAGAGACTTATGTTAATTATAAAGTGTTTGGCCTATTGCTAAGGTCTATTACTAACTAGCTCTTATGACATAAATTCACCTATAATTATTGTCTGTGTTTAGCCACATGTCTTGGTACCTTTTCTCAGTAAAGCATTCTCATCTTGCTTCCTCTGTGTCTGACTTGTGGCTGACTCTGCCTTTCTTTTTTTCAGAATTTTCCTAGTCTGGTTGCCCCATCTATACTTCCTGCCTGGTCACTGGCCAATCAGCATTTCATTTAGTCAATAAGAGTGACAAATATTTACAGTGTAGAAAAGCATTATCCCACAGCATTTCCTTTTTTTCCTTTCAAAACAAGACCTTGAATCTAATCTTCTTTGTTTAACTGTTTTCCTGACCATTATCCATGACAATCTGTAACCAACACACTAAACAATGACAAACATCCATAATCCATTTGAGGGGAATATGGGCATAGTTTTCTAGGCTACTTCTTGCTGATTGGGAGTACTGATAATCTTAAGGGTACTCAGAGAAAATTTAGGATTATGGTCAAGTCTGTGAGACTGGATTAGCTCAAGCAGCAGTCTTAAAGCTGTTCTGAATTTAGAATTCAGAGGAAACTGCAACAGAGGTATTCTGAAATATTGGATCATCTGGGCCATCTGTTCCTACCAGAGATTTTTCTAGGGAAGTATTTGCTGATCATACCTTATTTTTCTTAACCCAGAATAAATGCACAATATCTCATTTCCTGTGGAAACAAAAAGCAAAACTTCTTCTCCAAAGTAACATATCTTTGACTTAAATTTTGAAGTCAAGGTATTTTCAAAATATATAGGTTGGATTAATCCAGCAGCATTTAAAATCGAATGTCTTTTAGGAGCTGTTTCTCCTTCCTCAGCAGTCAAACAATTCAAAGGCAACATAATAACATACAATATCCAGATTCTCTGTGTATTTTCCATCTTTATGAGGCTTTTGTTTGTTTGTTTTGTTTGTTTTTACTCTATTTCTTTTATTTTTATTTTTTTAACTTTTTTGTTTTGTTTTTTTTTTGTTTGTTTGTTTTGAGACAGAGTTGCTCTGTGTATCTTTGGCTGTCCTGGAACTCACTCGGTAGACCAGGATGCCCTAAAACTCACAAATATCTGCCTGCATCTGTCTCTGCCTCCCAAGTGCTAGAACGAAAGGTGTGTGCCACCACACATGACTACTCTATTTCTTTTTTAAGGACTTCATCTTTTTTCTTTTCTCTTCTAAGCCTACATATATTTCTAAACACATTATAAACCATTTAGAATGTTTTTTTGCCTAAATCTGTCTTTACTATATATTTCTGTCTTTTTCTGACCACATGAGTCTTTAGTCTGCTAAACCATATGGCTAGGGTTAAAGCTGTGGCATTGGCAGCTGACTCTGCTCCATCCCTTAGCTTTTTGAGAGTCTATCTTCACAGCAGAGGTACTAGAGGAGCCATGTTTACAGATCCACACCACCGCCAAGAAGCCTAATGCTGGCTACCTACCCATAATTACTGTTTAAGTGTTTGGTTACAGAGCTTCTTGAAAGATCTGTGAGGTTTTTGCTGCTAATGGCGAGTCAGAAAGCCTCTCTTAAAGGAGCTATACCTCAGCTCACCATGAGCAAGCAGAGCATGCTGGAGAAAAGTAGGTTACCAAGAAGCTGCTCTTGACTCTATTCTTCTCTGTCTAGAATCCTTTTTTAAAAAGAGAAAAGAAAAGAAAAGAACTTTCTTAGTCTTTATGTGGAAATTCTTACCAAACATTTGGGTGCCATTCGTAGACAAAGTGTCTGTCCTGCCTGGTCCTGCAGCTCTTCAGTTCCAAAGACGCAAAAACACAGAGGTTTATATTAGTTATAAACTGTTTGGCCTATTGTTCAGGCTTATTAAAAACTAGCTCTTATGGCTTAAATTCACCCACAATTCTTGTCTCTGTTTAGCCACATGACTGGTACCTTTCCTCAGAAATGCATTTTCATCTTGCTTCTTCTGTGTCTGGCTAGTGACAGACTCTATGCTTTTCCTTTTTTCAGAATTCTCCTAGTCTGGCTGCCCTGCCTATAATTCCTACCTGGCTACTGGTCATTTTATTACACAAATATGTGACAAATTTTTACAGCGTAGAAAAGCATTATCACACAGCACAAAATGAAGAACAGAGGAGAACAAAGATGAAGGAAGCAAGAAGAAGTTGAAGCAGATGAACTTTGGGCAAGGAGACCAATTGGGAAGATGCAGCAATTTGCCAACTTGTGCTGAGGAGGACTTGAATTAGGACAATAGATTGGCATGATCTCTCAAAGGATCTTGGAGTAAAGACATTCCTTCTGGGCAGCACTGTATGTATTGGCACTATCTTCTCTCTCATCTTGTAACACTTTGTTTATACCAAAATGCATTTTATATGTTTGAGTACATTTGAAGGAGTTGGATTTCTTCAAAGATGAGCATATGTCAGCTTTTCATGAACCCACTTCAGCAAGCATGATATCTGGAATGATATTTTAAAGCTATCTATAAGTCAGGATAATTATTTACTTGTATATTTCAAACATTAAGATATTGCTATTGAAGTATAATGCTTACTTTTACACAATAAGTTAGTTAGGCTACAGTACAATATTTTTAACTGAATGTTAACATTGTTGTGAGAATAATTTTTTTATGATTAACATTTATGGGTAGCCAATAATATGTAAGTGTGATTACTTTAACAGATGAAATAGACCTCACTTAACCAGTTGGAAGACTATAAAAGGCCCCAAGAACAGAATTGCAGTGTTTCTGAAGGGAAAAGGAATTATGACTCAAAACTGAAGCATCAGCTTTTATCCAAGATTCTGTGTCCTATAGATTTCATATTTGTCAGCTATGAGCTAATTCCTTGAGAATAATATGTATGTTTTCTGTTTCTATATACATATGTGTATTTATTTTTTAAGTTTCTTTCATTGAATAAAAGCTGAGAAATGGAATGACCATTCAAACAGGTGATATCACAAAGACTACAAGGGAAATAGGCTAATATAGATTGAAACAATAACTTTATTTCTAAGTAGAGTAAATTTTAGATATATGAAAAAATCCAGCAGAGATACATAGAAAGCAAATGAAAACATAAGGTTTAAATCTACAAGGGAACTTGATGGTCAAAATAGATGACTCAACAATAATATAGTTTTTCTCTTCCTATAGAACACATATTGTAGTTTAGAAATCTATATACTCTAGCAAACATATGTAAGAGATATCTAGTTGTAGTTATCATCTAAACATATTTTACCTTTAAACTTATTTCAACCAAAACATAAAATTTCCCTTGTAAAGACAACCTAATATCTTCGCACCTAAAACCATTTCGTCTCAGGTTAATATCATCGCAAGGCAGAGATGAAATCGACTGTCAGGGTTCCAATGACTCTGCTTATCCTGAGACAGAGTGGATAAAGGTGGAAGAGTGGGAGAGGGAAAGAGGGCAGATGTTTTCTGTTCTCCTCAAGTGGACCTCTCGTCTATCGCTGACATTCACAGAGACATCGTAAGTCATCATTGACTGTCACAAGCTTTTGGTGCTGATAAATAATCTAGACCTGCCTATGGCAGACTGACAAACAGATGTGTCTAACATGGGACTGAGGAGCTGCAGGGTTTTGTACTGACCTCACTTTTCTAAGCTATGTAACTATGATTCCTTCTCACAGTCTAGAGTAAGAAGAGAGCTAGAAAATCCTTCAGATTGTTCTTCAGAAAATCGTGACATGACTTCCCGTTCCCCTTGGGGGTGGCGCAAACTCCTGCCACACCAGGGACAAAGCAACCATGGACTGGACCTTCTCTGAATGATTCAAAGGATTCCTCTTTTGAAATCCAATGGATTTCTGAGCCCCAAAGCTTTGTTTCTTGGGGGAAGATGTCAAGTCGTGTGAAACATCTATCAAACACTGATGAGAAGAGGAAACTTGAGAAATTGTGAGAGGAAGAAACATAATATGCTTGATTCTCTTTCTTTTGAAGAATTTCCAAGCTAATGAACTGGAAAATTTTTGCTGATAATTACACATGGGTCCTCATGAAAGAGAATGAAGCGCTCTGGCACGTTATCCCCACCCATATAAAGAATTTAAATTAATCAACTGTTCTTCTGCGTGGGACTTACCTTGGTGAGGGAATTTCCCACAGAGCACTGGATACAGAAGCTGGAATGTAAGGCTCAAAAAATATCTAAGAAGAAACTGAAGCAAGTACATGTAACTTACTAGATTAACATTTGTTGGAGAAACTGAGACTTTAAGGGAGAAACGAGTCCAGAGAAAGTGTGTGTGTGTGTGTGTGTGGCTGTTTGAAATATTCAAAGCCTTTTAGAAAATGACAGTCTTGAGATTATTGGTAGTTTAGGAAGAAGCCAGTTTTTCTTGATATCTAGAAGCAGCCATAACATGTAAATGGAGGACAAAGGAAGTAAATTACAGTGATTTACAGTTCATAGTGTGAAGGGGGAAAAAAGAAAATATAACTTCCCAAACTGGAAGATGCTTGTAACTCCAGCATTCAGGAGGCCGAGACAGGAGAGTTCTGACGTTGAGGTCAGCCTGGCCTATGGTGTGGGGATCAGAGGAGATCCTGAGTGCATGTGTATTATTGACATAGCCACAGTCGCAGATCTATGCAAGTGGCAAAGCCTTCTTGGGTCAGGCTCAACATGGACATTTCCTTGGTCCATGTCTCTTTTTGGTCTACAAATGATTGAACAGTTTATGTGAGAACTGCCAAGTGCAGCTTCATCCTCCTGGATTGTTTACCGCCCGAGAGTACTCATCTAGAGAAGCCTCCCACCAAGATTAGTCAACCGTTCCCCACCATGCCTGAGGTTCCCCTGTGTAGAGGTAGTTAATCCCCCATCAGAGTGCACACAGCGCACCTGATACCAGCTTTTCTGTGCCTGTGTCTGTTCTTTCTTCATTCCCGTACTAGCTTAAGGTTCCGAACTTTGCAAGACACCGCACTAGGAAAAGCTCAGCCTAAACTATAGAGAAAGTTGCTTCATCAGCAAACATAATGTTTCCTGTCATTTGTGTGTGTATGTGGCATTTCTCTAGGTCTTTGAAGAAGAATGCTTATGCTCATACCAAACTGGGATGACACCCGAAGCAAAAGGAACACATAACAAACTGACAAGGGTTCACTGCTCCATTCATTGAAAGAAAGGTAAAGGAGTTAGAAACTGTCCACAAATGCAATAGACTTATTGGAATTATATAGATAATGTGTGCTAAAGGAGATGCCTTCAAAACGATATCTGAGTATTTGAAGTTTGTTGGCTTGTAAGAAAAGTTTCTTTCTTAAATATATAGAACACTATAGGTTTAATTCCACTTGCCTGAAATACTACCTCTGGGAATTTATTCTAATGATCGGGATATATGCAATTATTTGTTTATATTATTTATAATTGGAAAAAAGCTTTAAAAACAAATGTCAAAAACAGGAGATTATTTAAGTATCCCCATATGATGGTCATTTTAATAGGTAATAAAATTATCATAATATACTTGAAAACTATGTGTTATAAAACTTTATAAAATGTGTTTTCTCTGAAAATAAACAATTTTCTAAACAATGACTCAGAAATTTGATATACATATGTACATATAAATTATTTAATATTTCTTTATCCGTCTTTGTTTTGAGATGGCATTTTGATATGTATTTTAGACTGCTTTCCAATACAAAGTCCTGCCTCTGCCTCCCCAGAGCTGGTACTGAAAGCATATACTACACCTAGGATATGTATTTATTTGACTTAGAAAAGACTCTACTCATCTATTATGAAAATAAAAAGATAGCAAAAATCATAATCATGTAATTAGCAATTTAATACTAAAGGTTCAGAAAGAAAACCACTTAAACAACACTGATAGAAAGCAGCTATTATTGATTTTTGCCATTCTGACAGGTGTAAGATGGTATCTCAAAGTTGTTTTGATTTGCATTTCCCTGATCACTAAGGAGGTTGAACAAGACCTTAAGTGTCTTTTCGCCATTTGAACGTCATCTGATGAGAATTCTCTGTTAAGTTCAGTACCCCATTTTTTAATTGGGTTAATTAGAATTTTCATGTCCAATTTCTTGAGTTCTTTACATGTTTTGGAGATCAGACCTTTGTCTGATGTGGGGTTGGTGAAGATCTTCTCCCATTCAGTAGGTTGCCTTTTTGTCTTAATGACAATGTCCTTTGCTTTACAGAAGCTTCTCGGTTTCAGGAGGTCCCATTTATTCACTGTTGCTCTTGTTGTCTGTGCTACTGGGGCTATAGACTGTGCTAGAGAGGAAGTGGACTAATGAGAACACTCATCCACTGCTGGTGGGAATGCAAACTTGTGCAACCACTTTGAAAATCAGTGTGGCGGTTTCTCAGGAAATTAAGAATCAATCTACCTCAGGATCCAGCAATACCACTCTTGGGAAAATTCCCAAGATATGCCCAATCATACTACAAAAGCATTTGTTCAACTATGTTCATAGCAGCATTTGTAATAGCCAGAACCTGGAAACAACCTAGATGCCCCTCAATGGAAGAATGGATAAAGAAAGTGTGGAATATATACACATTAGAGTTTTACTCAGCGGTAAAAAATGACAGTTTGAATTTTGCATGCAAATGGATGGAAATAGAAAACACTATCCTGAGTGAGATAATCCAGACCCAAAAGGATGAATATGGTATGTACTCACTCATTAGTAGACTCTAGCCATAAACAAAGGACATTAAGCCTATAGTTCTCAAGCCTAAAGAAGCCAAATAACAAGGTGAACACAAAGCAAAACATATATAGATCCTCCTGGAAATTGGAAGCAAACAAGAGTGCCAGGCAAAAGTTGTGAGCATGAGGGTGAGGGTGGGGGTGGGGGTGAGGTAAGGGGAGAGGGGGAGGGAGAAGGGAGAAAGGAAAGACTGGAGAGAGCTTGGGGGAGTGGGAGGGTGGAGATGGAGGAAGGGTGGATATAGGAGCCGAGAAGAAGATATCTACATTAAGGGAGTCATTTTAGGGTTAGCAAGAGACTTGGCTCTAGAGGGGTTCCCAGCTTTTCACAGGGATGTCTCCAGCTAGGTCCTTGGGCAGCAGAGCAGAGGGTGCCTGAACCGTCCTTGCCCCACTATCATACTAATGATTATCTCGAATATCACCATAGAATCTTTGTTTGGTGATGGATGGAGATAGAGACAGAGACCCTCATCAGAGCAACAAACTGAGCTCCCAAGGTCCAGTTGAAAAGCAGAAGGAGGGAGAAGATGAGCAAGGAAGTCTGGACCACAAGGGGTTGTCCAACTACTGAGACAGTGTGCCTGATCTAATGGGAGCTCACCAAATCCAGCTGGACCGGGACTGAATGAGCATACGATCAAACCAGACTCTCTGAATGTGACTGACAATGGGGACTGACTGAGAAGCTATTGATAAAGGCACTGGGACTTGTTTCTACTGCATGTACTGACTTTTTGGGACCCAGTGTATTTGGACGCAAAGCTTCCTAGGCCTGGATATAGGGGGAGGACCTTGGACTTCCTACAGGGCAGAGGGAGGGTGCGGGAGGAGAGTGAGTGGGGGAGCGGGAGGGGAATGGGAGGAGGGGAGGAAATGTAAATTTTTTAATGGAAAAATAAATAAATAAAAATAAAAGTTGCAAATGTAAAAAAAAAGCAGCTATTCAAGGAGTTAAATAAGTAAACAATGATTTGAAATGTTTGTAACTTGAAGTAGTCTGGAAAAGATGCTTATCTGAGGCTGAAGAGATGTTTTGGTGGTTAAAGCACTAGATGTCAATGATAAGTACCAAATCTTGGATCCTGTGAGCCCATCAAAAGTCACACACAATAGTACATGAAATGTCAGAGAGACTGGAGAATCTCTGGGAGCCCACTGGCCACATAGCCTGAAGTATGTTATGGCAAACAACAAAGAGCCCACCTTAAAGTCAAAGATAAGGACCAACACCAGAGGCTATCCCCTGACCTCCACACATGCGCGATGGCACACAAGTGCATACCCTCACACACGAGGATGTACATACACAGAAAACATCCTTATCCAAAATTAATGATAGATATTAAAACTCTATGTGTTTGTGTTCAGGAGAAGCCTGAGAGTGTAAACAAAGTATCAGAAATGGTAAGGTTTGGGAGAGATGAGATGATATTTGAGGTTTTTTTTTTTTACTTTGCTAAAAATTTTTAATGGATATAAATAAAATGTGAAAGTAGTTTGAAACTTGAGATGGTGGAAGAACTAACTAAAGGTTTGACTGAGACACTGAATTACAGAAAAATGTGTTAAGAATTCAGAAGTGATGAAGAAGCTAAGGGTGGGCCTTTAGGCACATGAGGGGGGCAACTGGATGGAGGCGGAGTTTATGAAGAGGTCATAAGACAGAGGGAAGGAATTCCTCCGTAATGTGGGATCCTGAAAGGATACTCTAGTTGCTTCCTGAATTCCAGGTGAAGCAGTAGATTGAGCACAGCTCCCAAAAGATACCAAGGAGCCAGGAAAAAGCAAGGAACATCTCCACAAAAATGACATTTGAAATTTTTTCAGTAGATGTAGGTTAAAAGGCTAATATTGTACCATATGATATGCATTCCCAACTTACCCAAAGCAGAATGGAATCTGCCAGTCCTGGGAGCTATTTCAGTCATGCTTATGTAGACATGACCAGGAAAATCAATAAAGCGCATTACTAGCATCATGAAATTTTAGCTTTGTATTTATTGAGTTTCGTAGGTGACAGAGACATACCTTCAACAACAGACCTAACCCCACCATAATAAAACAATATGCATAAAAGTTGTGTGTCACAAAACAGAGCTAAGTAAATCACAGAATGTCCACAAAGCTGTACGGACACAGAAGTGATGTCTGAATCTGCTGTTTTATCCTAAGATCATTTACCAGTGAGTTAATCTTGGGCTTTGTATCAGAGGAAGCATACTACGGAGCTAAGATGGCCAAGAAGGACACGGGAGGGCCTCTGAAAGCTGCCACACTACAATCCTACCTGCAGGTAGACACAAATACTCATGAACACACTGCCTACCTCAGCGTTAGGTGCCCATGACAAAAGGACACGCTGAATTTGAACATTGAGCACTGGAGGACAAAGAACAAGAAGATGTTGATTTGTCAACTGATCACTTTCCACTCTTTGTGGAAGTTCAGGATGTTCTTGATCTCCACGCCAGCTTCAGCTGCCATCCCCAGCACCAACTGCAACGGGTATGAGAAATTCCTAGGGTGGTCCAAACAGACACCAGTAACGATAGTCACCATGCTGCTGGGATCCAATACCCCTGGCCTGGAGGAATCCAGCAGACTTTTACAGAACTCAAGAATATTGTAGAGATCCCAGGCATCAGAGTCTGCTCTAGTCATTCTGGGCCTAACCAACCTCTTGGACACAAAGGACTGGCAGAGAATGTACTGGTTCCTTCTCTTTAACTCGTCTTCCAGGAAAGTGACGGCTGCCAGGGCTCTGCGGTCTTCCCATCTTAGGATGTACAGTGTGTCAACCACAACCTTGGGTATGATAAGAAAAAACTTAGCACTAGTGGCCAGTTTCTGTATGATGGAGAGGTGCTCACAGAGGGCCCTGGGGTCAGGAAACAGGTAAGGGGTCAATACTGACCGAGTCTGGGGACCCCGGAGAGTCTTCTCGAGCAATGCCACTTCACGCTGAAGCCAAAGTTGGACTATGTCTTTGGAAAACCTAATTCGTGCAGCTGTTCTCGGGAGCTGCTGAAGTGGGTTTTCTGACCTTTCACGGGTACTGCTCACGAAGACGCCCAGTTTCGAATCGAAGCTCAAGAACTGTCCTGGGAGTCTGGTTGCAAAGTGGCCAAAACTTCTGAAGAAACAGATGCGCACGATAACTTCCTCCCGGTTGGTGAGTGAAGGCAGATCCTGCCCTACGTCCGCTCTCTTCTGGGACACTTGAGGAGGAACCTGCTGGAACAGGGCAATGTCTTCGGGGAGCTGAAGGTACTTTGGAGTGTGTGGCCCTTGACAGCTCCGCAGTAAGTCCTGGAGACGGCGAGACAGACCAAGGCCTGGATGCTGCAGGTCTCCCACCGAGGGCAACAGGTTCAGCAGCACACAGAGGTGGCCCCATAAGCTGAGTACACTCCTCCGGTGTGACGAGAGGAGGCTGTGGTTGCTGCGCAGCCAGCTCAGGATCACCTTGATGGTAGGCAGCAGTCCCTCTGCAGAAAGAATGTCCAATTTCCATTGGGTGGTCTGGAGATTGTTTTTCTGGGCAACGGAGGGCTTCTGTTCCCAAGAGGAACCCCCACAGAACTCTGTGTCCGGAAAGATGTTCATCTCGCTCTCGGTGCAAAAGGAACTGCTGACAGCAGGGCTTGGCTCAGACTGAGGTGTCAGAACGTTATGACTGAAGACGGAAGCCAAGGGCGAGCCATGTTTTCCTTGGAGTTTTTGACTCAAAGGAGCTGACAAGCTGGAAGATAGAGTTGTTTTCAAGAGATCGAGGAGACTGTCGGGAGGTACATATGCCTTCAGTTTGTTTCTAGGATGAGCAGTGGTGGGTTTAGATGTACCTCCACTCGTCTGGATGGTTTCTGAACTCAGGGAGCCACTTCCTTCTTCATCTGTTGCATCTGAGTGGGAGGCTTCACTGTTTGTGTCTGATTGGACCTGGGAACTTAAGGATGAGGTTTCCTCTTCCTCTGTCTCATCTGAGTCACAGGCAGAAGGGAAGCCAGACTCACTCTCTCTAAAAATACCAGACCAGCCCTGACTTCTCTGAGAGTTGCTGTTCTGGAGCCCGGGAGATGGAAAATCTTGATGTTGCTTTCCAGGCTCCTTTTCCCAGCATCCTTCACCCAAAGAAGCATCTTCCAGAGTCAGCTTCTGCCTCTGCAGCTCAGCCTGGATCCGTGTGTTCACATGCTGTACTAGATGAGAGAAAAGAGTCAGCGTGAAGATAACAGCTGGTTTGTATTGTTTTGAGCCCGATTTCCTCAGGCTGTGCACATTCATGAGGCAAAGAACCACCATGTGGAAAATGAGGAAGTCTGGGAGAAAAAGATACCCTTTGAGAGGCTTATCATCTACGGAAGCATGGCACTGGACAGACTGATGTGGCCGATAGGAAAGACAGAGACGAAAGTCTTCGAGAACCAGCTGGCACAGGGCTATCAGCCTTGCAGCTTTGAATTTCCTCTTAGGCTGTAAGAGGCTCTGAAGATAGAGGAAGCTAACCAGAAGTCTTTTGTTGTCCCAACACTGCCTCTGGCTGTGGGACAGTTTCCTTCCCTGGTACCTCTTCAGACCGCTATACCTCTTCCCCGCATGATCATAGAGCCGTTTGAGGTTCCAAGCCGCTCCTTTAAAAGGCAC